GTATTTAGTCTTTCAAACCTATTATTTAAAGAAGACAAAACTTGATTCAAAATCCTGTAGAAAAGTTAGCTTTGAAATTATTTTTTGCATCTAGCACAACTTCGTCTTGATGTTCGTACTTCGTAGTCAAAGAGTTTTGGCTTGCCTTTTGGTCGTACAGTTTGCATCATCGAAAAATTTGGTTCAACATTAAGTTCGTCAGCAATTTTGTTTGCTTCAGTCATTACATTTTCGAAGCTTTCATCTAAACGTAACTAAAATATGATTAAAAATTTTAAAAAATGGTACCAAGATATTTGTTTAATTGTAATACTTCCACAAAAATCATGAATTTAAAAACAAATTTTCAACTACCACTAAGCACAAATCCACGAAGTAATAAAGCAAACTAATGAAAGGAAATAGGAAATTGGATGCGATCTTAGTATGTGTATTTTTTAACTTAAAAGTTCTAGGAAACGATATAAAATTTGTTTTATTCAGAAGTCCAGATTCTGTGAACTTGGCGGCGCAATAGCTTTATTATAGTTCGAATATTGTAAGATGAACACCTTGAGTCATTTAAATCCAACAAGCCGTTTGAATGGTTCACGGTGTACATCTTACAGTGTTCGAACTCTAATCTCTATAGCAGGAAATGGCCACATGACTAGCTTTTTCACATAACGTTTTGTTTTTTTTTTGTTTGGTTGTATTTCTCTTGCAGTTTTTTTTTTGTTCACTGCGAAATTCAAAATGTCTTTTTTTATTAAATTTTGTTACCGTTGTGGCGCCCCCTTAACTCTGGCGCCCGCGTGCATCGCACGCCTTGCATCCCCGCTTGTGGCGGCCCTAGGTCTGGCGACCGCGGGCTCTTGCTCTATTAATAAAAAACAGAAAAGCGAGAATGCTATGTCAAACATTAATAAATGTGTTAGTGAAACAGAAAAAAATCAATGGGGGCAGAGACCAAAATTTTCTTAAGGCTATGGGCGCCAAATTGGATTAATAGCCACTGCATACTCAAAATTGCAATTACTTTCTGATATTTATCGCTTTTTATAACAATTCTATAACAGTATATCATGTTATTAAGAATAAAAGTGATAGTTTATTTGGCAAAACTAAACGTTTATTTTTTCGAACGCAGTGAGGCAAATAATTCAGCTGAAACAAATAAACTCACTTTTACTCCAAATAACATATACCGTGCGATCAAATAAAAAATAAATTAGAGTAGGCGTCGATTAAATTCTACAATTGGCAACACATTAGCTGGGAATCTGGGCTGGAAATTTTTCACACAAACTGAAAGTGAAAATGACCATCCACCGTTGTGTTCTTGTATAACAATAAAAAAATTTCTGCTCTAAAGTGAACATTATTTCACTCAAAAGGAATAAAACGCAAACTTGTCAAAGTTTCCGCTGACATTTGATGTCAAAAATCAGGATTGCCATCTGAAAGACTTTAATCACCGCCTACTCTAATTTATTATTTTTTTGATCGCATGGTACTACTGTCCGCAAATGTATTCATATCTAGAGTAAAAAGTAAAAAAACACTATACCTAATTACCAAGTAAATGAATAAAATAATCAGAACACCTTGCAATGAAATCATAACAAACGTCACGCGTTAGTATTAAAATTTGTGTTAGGATTTTCGAAAGTGTTTATTGATTTACTTAAAAAGTGTCGACTACTTGTCGATCTACAATGTACCTCTTCAGAAACTGCTGAAGCAGCGAAAGAGATATACTTCTCGTCACGATATTTGAACTGTCGTAAATCTTAAGTCGGGTACCCGAATTACTCTTAACAATAGAGACATTTGGGTTGTTGTAAATAATCCAACAGTAAACACCA